CACTGAGGAGGGTGAGGCAGGAGGTTCACAAATTTGAGGCCAGCCTCAGCAGCTTAACAGGACTCTGTCTCAAAATATAAAAATAAAAAGTGTTAGAGATGTGCCTCAGTGGTAGAGCACCCTGAGTTTAATCCCTAGGACTGCAAAAAATAAAGAGTCAAAAAAGGGGAAGGAGGGGGAAGAGAGGGAAGAGGAAGGAGGAGGAGGCAGAAGCAGCAGAAGTAGTGGGGTGTGCTAACAGCAGGAATAGCCCCACCCTAAAATCTGCTCCATAGGTGGGTCAGGCCAAGCTTTGCCTGAGTTAGGGCTATGGGCTCAGAGGAGATGTACCCCTGATTGCCCCCATGTGAGAGCCTGTCCATCTGTAAGCAGGCAATATCTGCAGGAGAGCCCTTGGAGTTTCCTACATATTGACGTATTGATTCCTTGCCATCAATATGTCCTACAAGGCAGGTCTAAAGCAAGCCCTGCAGCAGCAGTCTGTCATCCAATAAGTAAAAATGTCTCTTCTCCCATTCCATTTCTTTTTTTTTTCCCCTTTGGTACCAGGAATTGAACCTAAGGTTACTTAAACACTGAGCCACATCACCAGCACTTTTTTTTGGTATTTTTTAGTTATTAATGGACCTTCATTTTATTTATTATTATTATGTGGTGCTGAGGATCGAACCCAGGGCCTCGCACATGCTAGGTGAGCGTTCTACCGCTAAGCCACAATCCCAGCCCCAGTAAACACATGTTTAACCTTGATTCCCAGAGGCCACTACTGTGATCATTTGGTATGACTCCTTCCAGAATGTTCTCATCACTGTTAGTAAAGGAGGATCATGCTACATCATTGCAACTTTCCACATAGCAGCATACCCTACAGCCTTCCAAGCAGAGAATACCATATCCTCCCCAACTACTGTGCCGAGTCCCATGGATCTGCCTATATTCAATTCCCTGCCAGAAACCTGTGGATCATTAGCCTCTAGATTTTGCCAACAAATCTTAATTCCTGCTTCTCTGAGACACTGACTGGCACACATCATGAGCCATATTCATGTGCAAGATGCAACAGAGAACAGGATGCAACCCAGACATGTTTCAGCTCTGTACCTCCCATTAATGCTGGCCACCAAATTCACAGGAAGGAAGAAGGGAATAGCAGGACTCAGACAAGCCTAGGGGTCAAGGGACTGTCTGTGCAGGTCATTGGCTGCCAGTGGCATAGCCCAGTGATCCACACCCTGTGAAACCCTCAGCACCTCTGAAGGTGAACTAAGATCTGACACAGATGCGAGGCTCCTGAGAGGTCTGCTATGGGAAGATGGGGCCAATTAATTATTGGTCTGCATCTGTGAACTCTCTAGTGACTATGGCTTATGATGAAATGCTGAGCTATGTGAGCCACAGACTCAGCATAAGGGTCCTGTGATGCAGGGTGATCCTTGGCCAGACATTCAAACCACAGAGGCAGGAAGTAACATTGCAAGAGACATCAGACCTGCACTATCCATGAGAAGTGTCTGCCAAATCCTATCAGCAAAGGAGGAAGTTCATCAGCTCTAGAGTAGGCAGGAAGTGGCCCTCAGGCAGTGCTGTCAGGAGTATCACCCAGAGCAGCCCTCTTAGTGACTCATCAGCATTCTAGCACAGACCCCTCTGACCCAGCACTCCACTGCAAGGACTTATCACACGGCGCAGAATGAAATGGAAAGGGTAATTGCAACAACAATGTAGTAAGAACAAAGGACTGGAAACAAAGAACAGCTCCTCAAGGGGAACTATAACTAGCAGATGCAGCTGTCACAAAGAATGAGGCTGCTGTGTGTGTGCAGCCTGGACAAACCGTGAGATTAAAATGCAGGTTGCTGTTGACATGCTCCCACTTTGTAAACCACAGAGCCACATCTATGCTAACGGATGCAGGAAGAAGCCTGGAAGGTGGCTCACAAAACCATCAGCTCTTATGGGGACAACACTGAGCAGCTGGTTCACTTACCCTCAGGATCCCAGTATTTCTGAACAACAAGCGTGTAACAGGCTAATGCTCAGAAACACACTCATGCAGTGGGAAACAGCTGCTGCCTGGGCCAGGCCGCCTCCATGTACTGCAAAGTCAGCTTCTGAAGGGACAGGGAGGCACTTCCCTTGAGGCCCCAGGCCTTGTACAATGCCAGGATGGCTTTTTGTTTTTCTTTTTGTATTCTGTGGTCCTGGAGATGATTGAGCTACATCCCCAGCCCTTCTTATTTTTATTCTTACACAGTCTCACTAAGCTGTCCAGGCTAACCTAAACCTGTTTCAGCCACCTCCAGAGTTGCAGACAAGTGTCACACACCAACACCACCATAGTATTTTGACTCATAAAAGCTGAGTGGACTCAGAAGTAGGCAAGAGAATCTCAAGCTCCCAGTCCCAGAGACAGCCAGGGCCTCAAGCCTCACCAACCTTGATGAACCGCTGCTCCAGCACCTCATGCTCCCACTGCAGGTCTTTCAGCTCTTTCTCAGTAACCTTCAAATGTGCTGTTGTGCTCTAGAGAGAATACAGGGAGTGGGGACAGAAAGCATTCAGATTCACAAGTATCCATGTACCACAAGCTTCTGGAAGACAGCAAGGCCAGAAATAATCTCCAGGAACAATTAGCTGGAAAATTTCCAACAGCCGGACCCCACCTACACTGGCTGGTAGGATAGTGGAAGACTAGGGCCTCATCTCCCTTAGCACCCTCAATGGAAGTAAAGAGTCCAGTCTCCCTTTCCCTTCCCGCCTTCAGGAGATGCCCCCAGATGTGCCCACTTTCCTGAGGCCAGGAATGCATGTGCCAAAGAGGGAGAAACTCAGCAGGGAACTCACCACCAGGATCTGCTTGTCCCTCTCATACTTCCCAAGCTTCCTCTGCATCTCGTTCATCTCCTCCCGTGCCTTTTGCAGAGGGTCTGCCAGACACCTGTTCTGCATAGACACCTCTGCCATTTCCCTCTCCAGGTGTTCTTCCTTCTTCCGCATGTCCTCCATCTGCTCCTATGGGCTCAGGTGCAGGTGAAGGAGGGGCTCAGCCTGTGGAGCATAGACTGAGTGCTCTCCTGACCACACATGTCCTTCCAGCATCACATACGCTGGGGACTTAGGGGCTTGCTTTGTGTATAAACTGTATTTTGCAAAGTCTAAACTTATTCTGAATTTTCTAGGAATGCAGCTTCCATACAAAATGAGAGCCTGCACTTTGTTCAGGACTCCACCAGGGCTGCTCTTCACCATGGAAACCCTGCCACTGTCAGCATCTGAGGGACCATGACAACTGCCCACTCTGGCCACACTGCAGCCATGGCATGGTGCCTAGGTGTTGATGTGTCAGGATACCCTGTTACTGCTTCACAGCAGTTAGGGAAACTGGAATTTTGTTTGTTTATTTGTGGTGCTGGCAATTGAACCCAGGGGTGCTCCACCACTGCACTACATCCCCAGCACTTTTTATTTTTTATTTTGATACAGGATCTTGCTAAATTGTCCAGGCTGGCCTCAAAATTGTGATCTTCCTGCTTTAGTCTCGCAAATAGCTAGGATTATAGGCATGCACCACCACACCTGGCCTGCTTATTCTCAATTATGGGTGGAGATAAGTTACATTACTTACATATTTCAATTGAGGGTAGCAGAGGGGCTCTGTCCAGTGCATTTACAGAAAGGGGTGTAGGGTCCAGGGGACTGTGAGAGCTGGAGTCTGCAGCCCACAACAAGGACAGGCAATGAGTCCAGCCCAGGTGAGCACCTTGAGGGAGTTGATGAGGGCCAGGTTGTTGAGCGTGATATCGTTGTAGTAGTTCTTGATGTCAGTGAAGGCCTCCTCGTGACGCCGCATCGGTGTGTTGATCTGGCTGTTCTTCCTCTCCTCCACCTCGTGGATCTCAGTCTTTCTCCGCAAGTCAAGCTCATCCCTTAGCACCTTCATCTTTTTATCATACTTGGCCTCAATTTCTGAAAGGAAGCAGCACATATAGCAGCTTAACAAAGCAAAAACAAGTGCCGTGTGGCTGCAAGAATAGATGAAACCTGAAAATAGGGCCCCAGAACTGCCATGATGGTCAGAACAAAGG